GGGGGCCTTGCTGGCCCGGCGAGTGAGATTGATTAGTCCCCCTCGGAAAATTCGGGGACTGTATAAATGGAGTAGGTGGTCGAGGGTGAATCGACGGGACTCGGTGTTATTCACGAAGTAATGGAGGAGGATCACGATCCACCAAAGAGACGTGTGGATCTGCCCTAGCCACACCTCGTATCTCTTGCAAAAGTTCAAAACGACCGGGTCTATCGGGCCCAGTGTGAAAGGATAAGTGTAAACACTTAAATACCCCTCCACATGACTAGTGATATCGTCCTCAGGCCCGGGGACTACCACGTCCTTACCTCTCCAGATAAAGTCCTCTCGGACAATGGGAATGGTATTTTCGGTGACAGAGCATATATATCTCGATGCCCCTTCACCTCGGTCTTGTTTGGATGAGGCCTTCTCAACCTTGAAGTCGTCTGTGATTGAACATCCCCTGAGAATAAAGCTTTTCATGGGGGCTCTAGCGCCGATTCGGTGGCAGCCACTTGGGAGCAGCCACCTCGGGAGCAGCTGTCTCGAGAACAACTACTCCAGGAACAGCCGCCTCGGTACCTGTGGCTGGGTGGGAAGATGAAGAGGCAATCCATTGAGGAACTAATTTGGAATTTTTGGCCATTACTATCTGAGAAAGTTTGAATATTTTAAGAAAAAGTATGAAGATTTGAAGGAATAAGTTTGAAGGCTGAAGAAAAAGGTATGAAGATTTGAAGGTAGGATGAAGATCTGGGTAAGAACCTAAGAACAATTATGATGATTTGAAGATCAAAGATGAACATATGAAGAAAGAAGTTGGTAACAGATAGAAAATTCGAAGGTGGAAGCTTGGATTGGAAAGTGGAAAAAGAGCAAACGATAAAAGCTTTTATAGGGGAAGTACGCGTTGTTTCGCATTTGGAGGCGACTAGCCGATGGTTGACACGTGTCCGAAGTCAGAACGACACGACTGATGGGATGTTTTGGCTTCTTCATTTTCTCGGTTGTAACGTACGAATGAAGGAACTGGGGAACATCTATCATTTCCCATCGTTTCGGCAAACCAACTCTATGAGAAACGAGGGGACTATCTATATACGGGTAAAATCGGGGTTAACCTACACCCCGATTTTTCGGTGGGTCAAACGAAGAAAAGGCATTATTATATGGGGTCGTGATCAAAGCCGGAACGTCTTGTACTAAGTTCCGAACGAAGTGGTCGCCACCGAGCTTGATAAGACAATACTTCTCCGATCCCGGAACGAGCTCTGAGACCTCGGAAAGCACGGCGATGGTTACACCACTAACAGAGGGCCGTGATATCCGCATCTAACCGGATATCACTGCACACATCTCGCCCGACATTGGCAGCGAATGTGTAATTGGCTAGAAAGGAGGATTTTCACCTTTTTTTAGAATTGTATTAGGGATGAACTCTCCTACTATATAAATGGGGTAGTTGTTATTCAATAAACATACTGTAACACGCATATCAAAGCACTACAAACTTGTTTCTCTACTTTCTAGTTATTGAGAATTTCTTATTTTAATCACAACTGCTCTTCATACACACTTGGCTCCTAACCGAAGGTCCGGTCGAGGGTAGAACTATTGTTAAGCTCAAATCCAAGCCAGGACTGGTTTGGTTAGTTATTTATCTTTGATTCATTTGTCTAACATTCTTGATTACTTGTGTTGAATCGATCCACATATCCTTAAAATCCCGTACAAATTTAATTGTTATCCATTTTAAAGGTAAACAATTTTATAAGAGAAATAAGAGCTACAAATAGTAGCATTTGAATACATACAAAATCTATCAATTTAAAATCAGTTTCATTATTCAAAGAAGAAAAATCAAAATTATGAGGAGGCAAGTGTAATATCTCAAAATACAAGAAAATTAAGTGTTACAAAGACAAATCTAGAGGAAGGTTTCTAAAAGTATCTCTGAAATACAAATATAATAACTATATAACTTCGAGTGAAAGATATTAAATACTTCGAATGAGAAGTTTATATAATCTTGTATTGTACTTGGATATTGTATTTGACTATATATTAATTAGGTATATCTGGTAGAGAAGTTAATAAAAATATTTGACTATATGTATAATTTTATGTTTGACTACTGTACATTTCACGTCGAAGTTAAAATCAAATACGAGATAATTTGTTAACATCAATAGTCACCATAAAGTATAATAGAGCGTATTTATAAAAATATTGTATAGTAGAAGACTAAATTTGAACATTTTCTCATATTGATAATTTGAATTAAAGTCATTAAATACATCTATATCTAGAGTTGTGAATTATGATAATAAATCCACCACAGTTTATAAATGCTAACAGAAAGCAGTAAAACAAACTTTTCACTAATTCGGCATTACTCTCTAAAAGTCAAAATTATGAGTGTGAAACGTAACGCTCAAATGGATGATCCACTTAGTCCACGTTGCAAAATACTACGTACAAAAAGAGAACAACACACAGCAAACTTCTTTATAAAGCATTTCACCGCTCATTTTTCTTTATTCCTAGTAATGATCGAAGGAAGAAGAAGTTGTTACATGCAAAGCCAATAGAGAGTTTTATTTAATTTCTTGGTAAAGTTCTCTTTCTGTTTATTTTGAAATGTTCGTCAGATTTTTTTTTTTTTTGTTTATGCTTTGTTTAAGTTTAATGCATGATTTTGCTGCTTCTTGACATTTTTGCAGCAGTTGAGGTGGTGATTTCTGTGTTTATACACATTCATTTTCCTTTTAAAAATTTGATTAAATCTGGTTGAAATTCTTTTATGTTTTATTTAATACTGGCTTGTTTAAAAGAGGAAGGTCGCGATAAGGCTGGCAGCCAGCGTAAAACTAGCCAATTTATATCATAGCCGACCCTAACTTAAGTTTGGGATTGAGATGTAGTAGTAATTAGTTCTTAATATAGCTCATTCAGTCAAAAAAAAATCAGTTCCTGTTTTGTTTTAGTCAGATGAATGATTTTGGTGTTACTTGAATTCTGCAGCATTTGAAGGTGGTGAACTCTGCATTTATAGGTACATTCTTTTCATTTCAAATTTTCTAATTAATCTTTGTGATGAATCTGGAGCTATTTTGGAACTTAGCACTTGTTCGTTTTTCCTTTTTTTTTTTCTTTTTAATGTTAATGGTATAGAGAATTGAAAATGAGAGTTTATTCCATGTTATCCTTGTTAAATCTATATTAGTCAAGTCGCTGATTAGCGTACCATGACATCTTGTTTGGAGCAGTGGCGGATCCAGAATTTTAAAGTTATGGGTGCTCGCCGATAAAAACTTCAAAAGAAGAGGAAAAATAAATTTACTTGTGGGTGCTCGCTCAATATTTATCTAAATATTTGTACAGTTGCCTATATAAATTTATTAATATGTTCAAAGTTAATGGGTGCTTAAGCACCCACAACTCCCTATGTGCATCCGCCACTGGTTTGGAGGAAGGAGGTATGGGGTTTTGAATGCAACTTTTTGGTAGGAAGGCGCGAGTCTGAATTAGTCGGCCCAGTGGGCTTCAGATGCCCTAAAGCAAAAAAGGAAAAAAAAAAGATTTGCACATTGTCATTTTATTCCTTTCTTTGTATTTTGGTTTTTATTTTTACCTTGTTTTAACAATCTAGTGATAGTTAGTGAACTACTGCACCGGCGAAAATGACTCACCTAGCATTTATGTGATTAACCGTGTTTGAAGATTAACGGGGCTACATCTAGTTCGATTCAATGTAAGTTTGATTTTTTGTTTGGTAAAACATTGAGAGTTAATTATGATTATGATGAATGGCAAAATACATGCCTATATTTAATATAGGCATGTAGTTGTCACTTGAACAAACTTAATCAAGAATTAATTCTAGATTTTGGGTCATTATAGATCGACATTCATCCTTAAAAATAGACTTTGAAATTTTGGCAAAGTAGGATTACCGAACTGGATTAAGTTTGTTCGCTCTAAATCCAAGTGTAGATTTCCCAAATTTGGCATGTAAGCTAAGCGTAAGGTGTTTATATCAACATTGATTTCTAATTTCATGGCGTTGATGCCTAAACTTCGTTTGATAGTGGTGAATAATCTTATAAAATTTAATGGAATTAATCAAATTTTGCTAACTCGCTAACTTTTTGATGATACCATCTAAATTCTATAGTTTGATATTCATACATTTCAGACCACCAACTTCTTTCTGTTGTACTTTAGATGCTTTCCATATTTGACCGATAATTTGCTAGATAAATGACTTTGTTATTTAAACTTGAGCCTTGATTATATTTATTAATGTTATTTCAGATGAGTAGATCATTAGTTCATTGAAAAAGGTTTTGGTGTTAATGCTAGTGCATTGCTTAATTCATTAGACTTACATGAAAAATAATTTTTATGACAATTCGCATTCATTTGAAGAAGATTGAGGGGAGAGTTTAACTAAGATACATTCTCTCAAAAAGGAGAGTGGAAAAATCTGCTAGGTCAAGATTTGTGAATAAGTCACTGAAGCGTTAAAAACTTTTAGGTGGAAGAGTAGAATAAATTGTTTCATGTTTATGAAGCAAGAGTTTAGCTGAATACTAAAATCAATGAGTTTACATGTTAAATTCGGGTTTGGGCTAAGCCAACTTAAAGATACATATAACATGACATGATATTCTCTGCCTTGGGCCAGGCTCGCAGGGTTTTTCCCAAAAGGCCTCACGCCACCTTATAAGTAGCTTCTTTTTCTTATTAACGTCTAGTGTGGGACTTTGTTCCGCACACCTAGAGTAAGCTTTATTTGCTTTAGGACACTATCTTATGCAAAAAATGTACATCATTTCATCAACTAGAAGTTCTCATAGCAATCCAACAAGTTACACTCTACTCACCTGAACTTTAAAATAGAGGTGAGAAGTTGCTTGTCGGTCGATTCATCTAATCATACCATTTATGCTTAAATTATTATTCTGAAATGATTGACTAAATGATGTTTGTCTGATTCATGAAGTTTGTGGTAATTGGAAGGAGTCAAAATGAGCTCTGATAACATCAAACTTGCTCCTTCCACCCCGTTGTTGGACGAGCAGAAACTGGTAGCTCGGCAGCAGCATGAGCCAAAGTCACGGCGCAGATCGCAGAAATTCCAACAGATTCAGGACAGCTCAATGAGTGCAAAACAATTTCATGAAGAGAATCCAAAACTATTGGAGGACTTGGATAAGGAGACGAGCAAGTCCCGTCCAAGTACGAGTGTGCTTCAGTCAGCAGAGCAACAAAAAACTACGGTCATAATAAAACGTGAATGTTCAGTTCCACCGATGATTCCAGAACATTCTTTGAGGAAGGACAAACAGCCGCTCATTGAAGACTCATTTCCGCCTACTTTTTCTCAATTGAACTTAGCATCTCCGCCTCCAAATGCATTCGAGATGAACCTACTATCTCCGCCGATTATTTCTCAGGTGAATTTGATGTGGATGTTACAGCAGCAAATGCAACTTGTGCGGACAGCTCATGAGAAACGTTCAGAAATTGTGGCTGATGGAAGATCAGTATATAAGCCAGGAATGTGTGTTCAACGTTTGAAACAATACATGTACCTTCAGAAGCAAAGACCAAGAGTAAGATATTCCAAGTAAAAGAAACATGACTTCTTTTTATATAGGATGTTGTTTTGCTAATTCATATATAGAATCTTATGGTACCTGAAAATGCAGGACAATGATATCGGGTTTTGGAGGAATTTAGTTGCAGAATTCTTTGCTCCCAATGCCAAGATAAGAACATGCTTTTCATTGAATAAAAATAGGCAACGGATAAGTTGTCTTTTCCCTCAGGTTTGTAGCCTAATCTTCTAGTCAATTTTTTGGGGCCTGGATTCAGACTAGTGGTAAACACTGTGGTTCCATCATTATCAAGCTTTCTCCCATAGGAGTATTTTGTCTTTGTGAAAAATCCTTGCCTAATCCAGATTCGCGCCCTATGTGCCTATTTAGGAAGGAAGCGCTTCTTACCAGGAAATGCTTTCATTCCCAAGGCTCGAACCCGAGACCTCTGGTTAAGGCCCTAAGGGTGGAGGGATCCCATCCATCCCAACACACCCTTGGTGGTAATCCTCACATTTACCACTAAAATCCTTGTCAAATATGTCGGTTTCTTTACACTAAGGTTGTTTCTGTTTTCATTTCTTCAAGATTTCTTTACCCTAAGTTGGCTTCTATTTCCACTTCTTCAAGATGGAAGAAATAATCTTGCCAACATTTTTTCTATTAAGTATGTTTTTTAGTGTGAAGGAATTTGAACATTTTCAGTTTAATGTATTTGACATTTAATTTTTTTCATTCGTTTGAAAATTTTCGTCTTCTTTAAGGAAAAAAGATTCAATCATCTTGTAATCTAGAATTGTTCAAATTGTCTTTCCAAAACCAAAAATGACTAAAGAGTTCTTACACTGAAATTTGTGATCTCAAGATTTGACATCATTTTCTATACATTTTATTATGCATTTAAGTATCTGCGTATCTGAAAGATATCTAGCACGAATATCCTCTTCGCAATGCTGGGTTTCCTTTTAGATTTAATTAGATTAACTGCAGGAGGCATGGTACTGTGAGATCTGCGAAGTGAGGCCTACTGCTGGTTTTGGTATGTACTCTGATCCTTTTTATCAAATTGGTGACGGTTGGATAATTTTGAGTCCTATAAGTTGTTAGCTAACATAGGCTCCTTTTGGTTTCTTGCTATGGTAGATCTGTATTTATTTTTAATAAATATTTAAGGTGGCAGCAGAAGGGGAGCCTTGGAACAACAGTAAAGTTGTCTCCGTATGACCTATAGGTCACGGGTTCGAGACGTGGAAGCAACCACTAATGCTTGTATTAGAGTAGGCTAGGTGTCTATACCACACCCTTCGGGATGCGGACCTTCCCCGGACCCTGCATGAACACGGGATGCCTTGTGCGTCGGACTGCCTTATTTAACGTGGCAGCATTAGTTATGGAATTTTTTGACTCGGGGGTTTATATCATAGTATTAAATAGTGAGAACTGTCAGAAAGTAGATGGAAAATGCTATATATACAAGGCACAGGCAGACATAGCCTTTCGGTTGTGGGTTCAGCCGAACCCTGCAAGTTTGGTTTGTCTTAAGAAATCCAATGAATTATATACAAATTATTAATTTACAACTCACTAGCTTAAAAGGACTAGAATTCCGAACTCACAAGCTTCAAATCCTGGCTCCGGCAGGTCAAAATGATTACATTGAAAATCTGCTGCTCACTGTCTGAAATACTGATTTATCTTTGTGGATTTTAGAGCTCAGCGCAGAAGTTCTACCTAGGGTATGCAAAATTAAGTATGATACCGGTATGCTGGACGAGCTTCTTTATGTGGATATACCTGAAGAGTATTACACACCATCTGGTCACATTGTTTTGAACTACACAAAAGTAACAGAAGAAAGTGTATATGAGGCAGCACGAGTGGTCCGTGAAGGCCGGCTCAAGATTGTGCTTTCTTCAGATCTAAAGGTTAAGCGTTTATAAGATATAGTCCTTTGTTTCTCTTTTATAAAGTATTTGAACTTGTACCAAAAGATTGATGAAATAAAAAACATCCTTTCTTCTGTTTTACTGTGATAGATTTGTATCTGGGAATTCTGCTGTTCTTCTCACGAGGTGCTTATCGATCGAAGATCAGTAAATCCCCAGGTATATAACATTACACCAGCTTTTCCTTTCTAACCTTCAACTTCTTGCAACTCATCACCTCTAAGTTGATGGTTGACTGATGGTTATAAGGAAGATTCTTTAAAGGGCTTTTTTCGTTTTTGGCCCGTCGGCCAAAATTAATTACAGGCGCCAGCAACATATATTACATGTACATTTGTGTATATTATGTATATTTACACTGTAGCAACTGATTATGTATATTACATGTATATTTATACTTAATATACAAAACATATACATTTACCGGCTATTATTTTGGAGGGCTGCCCAATAAGGTAATTATCCCTTTATTTTTAAATATCTTATTGAAATAATTTGATTTTAACTAGTCTTAAATACTTGAATGCTTGAACTTTTGATATATATGGTATTAGATGATCATTGTCGTTGTTGTTCTTATTAAGGTTGCTTTTTTGTGAGTTTGAAAAGAGCAAACTTCATTGAAAATTGTAAAACGTCATTTATCCAGGTTCATCAACTCAGGGAAGCAATCCAGAAATACCAAGCTTTTGTTAAGAGTTGCTCGGGGATTGCTTCAGAAGAATTTAAAAGAAACTCCAACAAGTAAGTTGTCTGTCCAACTGTTTCATGTTCACATTCAATACTGTAGTTCATCGAAATAGGTGATAAACCCCACATATCTTTTCTTTTATACTTGACTTTGATGACATTATTCGTACAACAGTAAAAAGGATAGTCCGGTTCACTAAGTTCTCGCTATGTGCGGGGTCCGGGGAAGGGCCGGACACAAGGGTCTACTGTACGCAGTCTTACCCTATATTTCTGCAAGAGGCTGTTTCCACGACTCGAACCTGTGACCTCCTGGTCACATGGCAACAACTTTACCAGTTACGCCAAGACTTCTGTTCAAATAGTCCTGTATAATATTTGAAATTTTCACTTTAGATTTCATATTTGTGGTGCTCGTTATATGCATTTAGGTTATTCTTCACACTTTAGTGAAACCATACTGTTCTACTTTTGACCCTTTGTGAACTGTATCTGTCGGACGGCTGCAGGTTTACTTCATCAATAAGACAATTAGCAAGAGTTTTGGACAAGTCTTTGATCAATGATCTTGGTTATACCAAGCGCTATGTCCGATGCCTCCAGGTATTAGGCATTTATGTGGTCTAATTATCCTGTCTTTGGATTATGTGCATATCAGAATGCTGTGTGGAATTGAAATTTTAGATAAAAAATGGCGACGATGATTTATATTAAAATTCTCAATAGAAAGAGTTGTTTATTCTGATTCAATATAAAAGCATGCACGATAGTTTCATCTCTGCTGTCATTTCAATTACTTGAAATTGCAGACGCAAAATGTAACAATTTTTTAACAAGATGCTTAAGGGAATTCTATTGCTTTAAACTACAGACATTCAATAGAAAAAAATCTCTACTGTAATCCAATAGTTGTATTAACATGTAAACTTACATTACGACACCAACTTCTAGAATGAACTTTAAGAAAGGGCAGCCCGGTGCACAAAGCATCCTGCGTTCATGCTGGATCTGGGGAAGGGCCGGACCTCAAGGGGGCGTGATGTAGGCAGCTTACCCTGATGCAAGCATCAGGGGCTGATTCCACGACTTAAACCTGTGACCTATAGGTCAAACGGAGACAACTTGACCGTTGCTCTAAGACTGCCTTTCAATGAACTTTAAGAAAGGGAAAACGAAAAAGATCTCAAGATTCTATTGACACGAGAAGAAACCACAAGTGAGAAGTGGAAAGGTCTCAGTAAATTAGAGGAGCGGCTTCTTTAACCTTTTGCCTGGGCTACTGTTTGTGTTTGTCTTTGACATGCTTGAGGGACTTCATTCTCTTGTGAATGTTTGTTATCAATAGGTTAGACATCCTAATATGTGAACTACTTGACTGTGTCGAATTACATATTTATTCTTTTTTGATGAGTTGTAGACAGCAGAAATGGTCAACGGCATGAAAGATCTAATGGACTACAGCAAGAAATACGGGATCGGACCTGCAGGTAATGAAATAACTTAACTTTATTGTGCCCTAGGCATTCTTTGCTTAACAAACTCATTTGTCGAGAGATGATTGCGAATAACTTTTTTATAATTTTCAGAAGCCATGGCCAGGTTGTATCGTCAATCTCTTGCATCAAGTGTGACACATAATAATTCAGGTGTAAAAGAAGAACCTCAACAACATGCAGAGCAAGTGCAGTCATACTTGTATGACGACGCAAAAGATGAGGATTCTTCTGTAATAAGTTATACTCCTTTGTCATCTAATGAAGAAACAGAAAGTTCGAGTTTATCCCATCATGCTGCATCACCAACTGCCTCTACTGCTTCGTCCAAAAGGCTGGTTCACTTAGTAGACATTGTCGAATCTAAAAGAAAGAAACAAATGACAAACTCAGGGGAGACTTCTCTTCTGCTTGCTTCGACCGAGCCTGTGATGAATCAGCCAATCTCCACAACTCCTCCTTTTTCTTCCATTAGGTCATTTCTAGTTCAACCATCTTCTGCTGAGAGAGTCGTCAACTCTAATGCTACGTCAGTTGAACCTATTGAATATCTGAGCTCCAAGGTAAAGGTTAAAGAAGATGTTGTCACTTCTCAAAACATAGCTGCTGCTGAAGATGCGATTGATGCTAATGTTCAGAAACAGAAGGAGAAGAAAAATGACGATAGTGGTAACTACTGCTATGGCTTTGGAACTGATGACAAAAGCGGTTACATGGAACAGTTAGAATCAGACAACTTGAATGGGGTAAGTCTTTTCTCTGGCATTCACATTGGATCTCCCTTGAATGGCACGTTAATGGTGAATGATACTGATCATAGCAACAACCAGCAATTCAATGACAAATTGCTTTACTGGAATGGAGAAATGGACCCTATCGATGATATTCAGTTCGACTGAAATATTCTTTCAAGATAACATGATTTCATGGTGTTTTTCTGATCAGTAGCAGTTGCATGTTTAGATACTTTAATCAAGCAAGTTTCCTTTTTTCCTATAAATTTTACTGGTTTTGTATTAAAAGGAGATCTTTCTTCTTCCCTTGTTTTTATACTATAACTGCTTGTGCTTGAAACAGACAGAGCAAATAGGAACTTCTTTTACCAAGCACTAGTTTCATCTGTTCTTTTAATATATATATGTGTGTGTGTGATGTCATGGTTATCTTTGTTTTAGACTTGGTTGCTAAGAAGTTGGTTTTTATATAGTGCTATTTACAACATATAATGGTTTGGCAACTATTACTAGTATTTTTAATAAAAAAAAGATGAAGCAGCAAGGAGGTTGAAAGTATGATTGAAAATTTTCATTAATCCTAGCTTTAAATAGCAAAGAGGTTGAAAGTACGGAAAAGGCACAAATATATCCTTGTACTATTGGAAAAGGTTTAAATATTCCCTTTGTTATACTTTGGGTCCAAATATATCCCTGCCGTAATATATTGGTTCAAATATATCCCTCTTCCGTTAAATTTGTCCAATGTGGACATTTAATCCTACGCACGCTGACATTTGATGAGGTGGGTGCCACATGGATTGCCACCTCAGCGCCTCTAACCCATTTTACCCCTCCCTTCTATTTTCTTTCCACCAGTAAAATTTTCTTTCCCTCCGCCACTATTGCCATCTTTACCGCTACCATGATAAATGTATTTCAAATTTTATATGGACTAGGGGCACTGAGGTGGCATGCCATGTGGCATCCACTTCATCAAATGTCAGTGCTACGTAGGATTGAATGTCCACCTTGGACAAACTTAACAGAAGAGGGGTATAGTTGAATTTTGAACCAACAGTATTACGGCAGGGATATATTTGGAGCCAAAGTATATAGTTATATTTGGCCCTTTGCCGTTGAAAGTATTGTAGACGATTGTTTTATATATTAACCATAGGATTTAAATGTCCACCATAAATATGCAGAATAAACATTCTATCCTAAAACATCTCAACAACCCAACATACCTATCATTAAATTCAAATTTAAATAAAGTGGTAGATTCTTCTAACAACTAAAATATTTGTAGTATACACGTTGCTGAATGAGTTAATCCTATTTTTTTTTTTTTTTTAAAAAAAATTCCAATCTAGATTGGTATTTATTATGAAGATCTTATTAGGGTGTAAAAGATCTCAAGTCATGCATTAGGATTTTGAATTTACGACAAAAGGTCCCCCTTCTTCAACAATATAATATGTGTTGTGAAATATAACTCAAAGTAACAATATGGAACAAGGAAATAAAAGCAATTTAGTAAATATGAACAAGAAATGGAGATCATGGAGATCATGGAGATCTTCTTCAATTGTGTGTATTTTTCTATCTATTACAAGGCCTTTATATAGGCATGAAAAGTGAAGAAAAATATGTCATTACGCATAGAAATATGTCATTGAATATGTCATTAACCATTTGAGGAGATCATGGAGGAAGAGCAGACATCCACCATAATCTGATTTTCTTATAGCACTCCCCCTTGGATGTCCATAGATAATGTGCCTCGTTAAAACCTTACTAGGAAAAAACCCTATAGGAAAAAAAATCGTAGTGAAGGAAAAAGAGTACACATGTTTAGAAATACGCCTTTTGGTTGCCTCGTTAAAAATCTTGTAAGGAAAACCTAGTGGGACAAAACCTTGTAAGGGAAAAAGAGTACAACGCGTATTAACTTCCCCTGATGAGAGCATCAATTCACATCCTTGATCATTCACATCCAAATCGTGTACACTAGTTTCTTGAAAGTTGACGTCGGTAGAGATTTGGTGAAAAAATCAGTCATGTTATCACTTGAACGAATCTGTTGCACATTGATATCACCATTCTTTTGAAGATCATGTATGAAAAATAACTTTGGTGAAATATGCTTAGCTCCTTTTATGAATCCTCCCTTCAATTGGGCTATGCATGATGTATTGTCTTCATACAAAATTATGGGTAGTTTGTAACACTTCAAACCACATTTGTCTCGAATAAGATGTATTATAGACCTCAACCATACACATTTTCGACTTTCTTCATGAATAGCAATTACCTCAGCATGATTAGATGGAGTAGCCACAATTGATTGCTTAGTCGTTCGCCAAGATATGGCAGTGCCTCCACATGTAAACACATAGCATGTTTGAAATCAAGCTTTGTGTGTGTCGGATAAATACCCCGCATTGGCATAACCAACAAGATCGGGATTGCAATCATTGCCATAAAATAAGCCCACATCAGTAGTCCCTTTTAGATAACACAATATGTGTTTGATTTCATTCCAACCTTGTAGGAGCAGAGCTATCGCGCCCCCTTTTTCCTCGCGGAGTCCGGAATTCGACATCTTGGGACAACTCGTTCCTTTTTGGGAAGGGGTATGGAATTTGAAGAGTCGCCACCTAACAGATTTAAGGTGCGTTAGGGAACCTAAAGCAAATAACTCATAAACCGATTTTCATTACCAGAGATTGGGTAAGGGCTCAAAATAACCTTGAGGGGAAGGTGTTAGGCACCCCTCGAGGTCCACAATGGTGGGTCCTGGCCAAACTCGAATTAGGTGAATTAGTCTTATAAACAAATAAAGCAATTTAGACAAATAGAGATTATTTCTAAAACAAGGAGTAAAAGGGGATCCTAGTTTTTTAGCCTATAGGATCACTTCTGTGCAATACTTGGTAATCGTCCTCAAATTGAGGTGCTACACATAGCATTAGCGCACAGGTCATAATATCCTTTTACTACCCAATTACCCTTCCCCTTTTGTTTATTACCTAAACGTTCTAATAACATCCGGTACGTGCCCTATGCGTGCGTTACCCGTCCCCTGCCTGTGGCCTGGAGGTGTTTAGGACCTCTATAACTCTATTCAAGGCGGTTCTAGACTCACTTATGGTGTTAAAAGGAGAAAAAAACTAGGCGACAAACAAAACAAGTAGGACTGTCACATAAAGATGCAATTAAGGGCTCATATTTACCTCCACAAATAGACAAACAATTGCACGCCTCAAACAAACAGTTTTAAAATGAGTTAAAGTCCTATAGCAGGATGTCTAGATGAGCACAAAATATGCAGTAGTTTTATTAAGGCGAGGCAGTAAATACCTAATCAGTTTGCCTGCTGATTTTATTACTTACCGAATCTGGGCAATTTATGAGCAGCAGGAAAATAGCAATTTTAAACCTAGAATCCAATTAACCTACATGATTGCCTAAGTGATAGTCGGACAGAATTTTATAAACCGGGTATCTGAGCTGTAAGCAATTACTGGTTTTAGCAGGCTGATCTTTATCTTTTGGACCCTACAAGCATGATATCTAAGTGTAAAAGAACTGATCTTAAGACCTTATAATCATGGTATCTAAATGCAACAATGATTCTGAATTTCCTATAGACATGGTATCTAAATGCAAAAATGATTCTGAAATTTCCTATAGACATCGTATCTATTTTTGAAGTTTCCTATAAATATGGTATCTAAAAGCAGAACTGACTTAAAACTTTATAGGCGTGATTTTAAAAATGCAGAACCAATTTTAAAACTTTGTGGGCATGATTTAAATGCAGAAATTAATTTGACAGCCTTATAGGCATGGTGTCTAAGTGCAGTAGTGCGAATCTTGAAAGGATATTCAGAATTATTTTGGTCCTACAGGCATAACATCTAAAAAATGGGTCAGGACATGTTGAACAAACTAAATCATATAGGCATGTTATCTACTGCATGCAGTAACGGAATATAAATAAACTATAGGTAGGATATCTAGCATATAGTAGTAAAAAAATACTTGAAAGAAACAGGCACCTAAAGCAGGTTGTCTACCCCATTTTCATGCAAACATCAAACTAGGCCCAGTTTTCCCCAATTCAATATTGCCCCATCATTATTACAAATAATTATTATAGACCATAAGCAAATGAATAGATTACAAAGTACATAACTATAGGAGGCCTGCAGCAGGCCCAATGCATCCGGATAACCCAAGCCTTCAAACCATAACAACTCCAAAGCTCAAAGATACACAGTAACCATTGGCAAAGCACCAAGAACCCAAATCTCTAGTGTGTCAGAGTTCCAAGGGCTTCGAGAACCCAGGGCAGTGCTCACACTAGAGAACAAATGTTCAGAAGCAGTTCATAAAGGATTGAAAACCAGCACCAATGCGTCAGAGTTCAGAGGAGTCTCATGGACCCTAAGCAGTGCTCACATTGGGGGGTGGCAGGACCCTAGTTAACTAAGAGTAGGAGTTGAAAATAGTGTATGAAAATAGGAGACAATTTTGTTTTTTTAAAAATGGTTTGAATTTCATAAGTGTGTAGAAATAGATTACTAGATTGCAAGAACCACAAGCAGCACACATTTAGCAGGGAGAGTTCAGCCATGAACTCCAGCAATCAAACAACAGACATGACAGAGTATCAATTAATTTGAACAAGGTTTCACATGGCCTTAATTCATTGTTTGTTACTAGGTGAACATATAGACATATATTAATCAAAGAACAACATGCTGGGGTCAAATTACTAATCAGACAATCATACAGAAAGGTAGCCCAAGTTGAGAGCATAGAAGTCATGAATTAACCAGGAGTTTGTTAGGGGGTGAACATTTAAAACAGGAGAGAAATCATGCTAGTTGAGAGACAAATAGACATAGGTTTAGCAGACATGCTATAAACAGGAAGCACCTAGGTCTAATTTCATAGAAGTAGGCATGCTGGTTAAGATTCAGGATGTACATAGGCTTAATCACATAGAGGTAGACATGCTAATTAAGAGTAATAAACATGAAGCACATTGGTTCAACTCCATAGCATATTGAATGATAATAGGAATGGAGACATACTTGTAAAGGAATAGCAAACAGAAAGTTGAGAGTATGCAGAACCCAATAGTCTAGCCTTGGCTTTCAGCCGGCTAGACAATGCAGCAAACACAAGTAACAGAAAGGTTTGAGAGCAAGAGTTTGTGTATGTGTGTGTTTCTTTCTGAGTGTGTTCGTGTAAGTGTCTCTGAGTTTGTCTTGAAAATCAGAACAAGAGGGCTTTTATAATATGCAATAGGGTAGGTCACATAAGGTAATGAATCAATCACACATAC